TGAATTTACTCTGTAAATCTTCACCCAAATCCTAATTAAAAAAAAAAAGAGAGAGAAATAAAGTAAAAGACCTCTTTAAAACATAAAAAAAGAATGACCTGAGCCACAGATTTTGAGACACCCCTGCTCTGAGGGGCGGGGTGGGGTTACTGGCCTCAGATTGTAAGTCATGAGTCAGTGTAATGAAATCTGGTTGGAATTCTGGTCTGGACCCTTGTCCAAAGCTCTCACCTATTTGGAGCATCTTAAGAGAGGGTATAAGACCACCCTGTACAGTGGTGTCATGGCTGATCCTGTGCAATACATGCTGAGCAGTGACCATCATGGGGCACGGTCCAGCCTTTCTTCTGAGGACTTAGGACATCTCTGTCTGAAACTTAGCTCCACTCTACAACAGCTCCTGCTTTCAAGCCCAGACTAGGGAATGCATCTATAGTGAGAAAGTGCTCTGAAATGTGTAGAAAAACAAAACCTTCCATCTGGCCCATGTTTCCCTACTTGTATCACCTTTACTAAATCTTGGGAGAGAGAACTGAGGGAGGAGTTAGGGCCTGCCTTTTACAGGCTTGACAGCAGGTGACAGGCCCTCCATGCCTCAACCCTTTGTAACACCTTGCACTGGCATGGTTTCCAGCAGCAGAGAAAGCTCTTTCATGTGAGGTGGGCTGGCCAGGCAGTCATTGCCCAAAACCCACACCTTTTCCATCACAGACCCAAAGGCACATGACACTGCATCTGGCTGGGAGGAATGCCCACAGTCTAAGAAAGGTGCCACTGAACTTCTGGGAGAAGTCTGCGTCTATGCAGAATGCTTTAAATGGTCAGTTTAATGGTTTGGTAGAAAGGCATGGAGGGTTGTGAGGAGTATGGTGTGGGTTTGGAGACAACAGAGCTGCTCAAGTACTGGTTCTGTTATTTGCATGAGTTTGGAAAGTTGCTTTACTGTAAAGACTTTCTCACCTGTAAAATGAGAACAAGAAAATCTTCTTTAAAGGGATGCCAAAGGATGAGAAGAAAGGACATATGTAAAGGGCCCCACACAGGGCCAGCCTCACAGTTGGTGCACAAACAGCAGTGCCCAGATGATTCCACCTATGAGAATGGTTTCTTAAAGATCTAACCAAATAGTAGTTAAGCCCTGGACAGGAATGTCTGGTTGCATTTAAGTGACTCAGAGAGTCCAGCTAGAGAGGGTCATCTTATGTTCTTGGGGCAGAATAAGGGGACTCAGTGACTGGTGGCCATTTTGTACAGACTGACCCCATACTTTGTTAGGATCCCACTTGGTTTTGTCCACTGGTGTTGAGTCTTTGATCACTCCCACAAATTCCGTACCAAAACACTGCCTGTAGAATGCCCACATTGTAAGAGGAGCCAACAGTTCATAAAGGTCATTTTAATGCAATGCACCTCTTTGTCTTCTCAGGAGTGGAATCTATTTGGAATGAGTGTAAAGTAGCATTTGCTCATTGATCACTGAAAGTCTTCCTGAGCTAATGAGCAAAGTTCAGCATTTCCTGAGACAAAAATAAAAATGTAAGGAAGTCCAGCACTGCAACTTGCAGTGTGTAGGCTTGGCCTTCACTTCAACCAATGTCATCATATTTTCTAAGGCAGCTCTTCAGAGATGGTACTCATTACTTCTCTCCATTTATACTGTAGAAACTTGGAGGTCACCAGGTTTCCCACAATGTGGCAAACCACAGTGCACAAAAAGACAAAATCTATGCCTCTAGTCTTAAGTAAGGAGTCCTTGGGTGTTGCAAATGGTTAAAGCACTTGGCTGCTAAACGAAAGTGTGAAGGTTTGAGCCTACCCAGAAGTGCCTTCAAAGACAGGTCTGGCAATCTCTTTCCAAAAAATCAGCCATTGAAAACAGGAGCACAGTGCTATTTTTACTCACAGGGGCCTCCATGAGTTGGAAGTGACTTGATCACAACTTTCTTTTCTTTTTAGTTTTTGTTGTTTTTAAGACTTAAAGGACCCATGGCTCAAGGAGGTTTGGCAACTTACTCAGAGTTGTTCAGCTCATGAGTAGGAGAACTAGGAACAGATCCCAGCCACTTGATTCTCCGTTTAACACTGTTCACCTTACTAACCAGTTGCCATTCAGTTGACTCCAACTCAAAGCAATCTTAAATGTGTCAGCATAGACTTATGTGCCATGGAGTTTTCAATGGCTGATTTTTCAGAAGCAAATTACCAGAACTTTCTTCCAAGGTGTCTCTGGGTAGACTTGAACCTCCAGCCTTTTGGTTTTCATTCACATTTGCACCACATTTATGCTCACTTGACTCTTTTTTGAGTCAAATGAGCATAAAAGTCCCTTGTCTTATTTGGCATGGATGGATAGTGTCGAGAATAATTAGACAATCAAAGTGTTTTAAGCTTTAGAGCTTTAAAAGAGAATAAATTTAAAGCAATAGCAAGAGAGCATGAGATGTCAGCTCAGGGGACCCCAGTCACCCAGCCTAAGTGGGCTTTGCTTGGCTTTCTTCCTGAGTTCTTAGTGCCTGGCCCTTTCAACTTCCATGTTCCTTCTTCTGACTCCTCCCTGTGCTGTTTCTCTTTTCCCCCATCCTTTCCTCCAAGAACATGCTTCCCCATTCTGGGATATTAGGGATCTAATGTAAATGATAGGTTGGAGCTGGGGCCACCAGTCCATGAACAGGACTGTCCAAATAGGGGACTCCTTGAATCAGGAGGAAGGGAGCTGCTCCAGAGCCCCACGGTGCACTACTGTTGAGCATCTTTTCTGTGATGGAAATGGGATTTGTCCTGCAGTGACAACAAACCAATGGCTGAAGCATTTCCTAAGGGTCATTCAGTAATTTGGCCGTATTCCTTCAAAATCAAGACTGTAATCTTAAAGCTACGAGCTTTATTACTAAGATTTGGACAGGATTATAAGAAAGCACAAATCATGGATGGAATTTTGGATTGCAAGTCTAGCAAATAAATACAGTATAAATTCACCCATGTTAAAAACCAGACACAGGATCTTAGAGAAAAGCTGTCCCAATTTTGCTTTACCAGGTGACCTCAGCTAATATCTTCATGTTATAAATGCAGTGTGAAAAAATATCACATAGATCAGTGATGAACCATGACTTGCACTTTGTAACGTGACCTCTAATGAGCCACTCCATCTTGTTTATTGTAAAATACCATTGTCAAGCACACAGACCAGTTTGCTTACCTCTAGTCTGTGAGAGATCTCAGGAAGTTTGGTAATTGTAGGCTCTTTTATGCAAATTCCTGCTCATTCAAATCCCCAAATTTGGATCCATAGAAACCAACTCGGACGTCGGTTCCAAACATTCTCTTTACATTCCTGATGAAGAAAATAAATAAGAAAACCTCCCCTTAGTTACATAAGGTACATTGGGTTGTCAAGTGCAGGAATGTGTTCTTGTTGTGTTATACTATTCCCATGTTACTATAAACAAAAATCATTCCTTTAAAAAGAGTATAATGTGTATGGCATTAACTTGGGGAATAACAAGCAAAGAAATCCTATGAGTGATGTCTAGAATTTCTTCTAAGTGAATTTAAAGCGATTCTCACATTTCCTGGTTAAAAGGTGATTCTGGCTTTCTTCTCTCACACACTGGATTCTGGTTCCCTGTTTATTCCCAGCCCTTCACTGTTTGGTAGATGAGAGCACAGTAATGACATTGTTGTCCCCTGACTCACGATGACCCCACACACAACAGAACAAAACACTGCCCAATCCTGCACCAACTCCATGATCTGTTGTGGACTGGATTGTTGAGACCCAGAAGGTGTTCACTGGCTGACTGCCAGTCTTTCTTTCTAGTCTGTCTAAATCTGGAACCTCTACTGAAACCACCATGATAGCAATGTGTAAGCCTCCACTGACAGACAGGTGGTCGCTGCACACGAGGGGCACTGGCCGGGAATCAAACCAGGGGTCTTCTGTATGGAAGGCAAGAATTCTACCACCGGCCCACCATTGCCCTGCTAATGTACTGATGTGCTCAAGATAAATAGTTTTCTAGAGAGGGAGGGGGGTACACATCTTCAGAACAGGGTTGTCTGTTGCCAGGTCCCAGGAAGTGCTGGTGAGGATCAGTACCTACCTTGTTTATGATGCTGTCAAAGGCCTTCTGCAGCTTGTTGTGAACGGAGGTCAGCTTCCGGAAGTCTCTGTGCGCTTCCAGGATGGGGATGACCAGCTTGTACACCTCATTAACTGTCTCATACAAGCCCCCCTTGCAGAAATAGAAAGAAGTTCGACAGAATTCAGAGCACTGGAAACTTAAGAACCTGCAGAGTTCATTGTCCACACAATGTACTTGGGAATGGATGTACCGTCCACACCACTTGTTTTACAGGCAGGTGTGAGGTCTGAACCTACTCCTATCATTGAGATGGCCTTAGGTCAGACTGCAGGAAACTCAAATGGCCCTGCACCATGCTGTGTATAGGGGAAGGGCTTTGGGGGGGGGGGGGGCAGCAGGACTGAACTGATTCAGAAAGGCTGTCTTAGAGCATTTTCATTTCACCAGGGAGCCGCCATAGCCAGGTGCTTAGTGTTTGCCTAGAATGAGTTAGGAGTGTTCCAAGGAGCTCACTTTCTTGAACTTCTTGAACACCAGGCAAAACAAAAGTATACTGGACTTTCTCTGACACCTGAAAGGAAAAGTAAGGGAAAGGCGAAAGAGAGGGAGAGGGAGAGGGGCAGAGACAGACAGAGAGAGTATAGCTAAAACGAAAAATAAAATACACAGAAGTGATAGGGAAGAAACTTAGAAATGAAAAGTAGAAACGAAAGAATAATGTAAGAATGAAAATAAAATCGGATCAGCTAAGCATAGTAAAGTACTGAATATTGTTGGGTTGGGTGCCATCAGGTTGTTTCCAACCCAGAGTGACCCCATGTGACAGAGTAGAGCTGTCCCATAGGGTTTCCTAGGCTGTTATCTTTACAGAAGGAGATGGCCAGGTCTTTTCTCCCACAGAACAGTTGGTGGATTCCAACTGCTGACCTTTTAGTTAGCAGCAAGCGCTTAATCATTGCACCACCAGGCCTCTGTATTAAATATTAACTTGGTTTCAAACCTAGAAGAAGTGGGAATTATTCAAAAAGAGTGAGAGACTCTTTTTCTCCTGCCCTGAATCTCAATGGCATAATCTCTTGTTCTTTATAGGACCGTTTACACCCAGAACAAGGATAACGAGCTAGGGGTCTCAGTGGTTCCCCACATTTTCCTGAGCTGGTTCTGGGTTGTAATAGTCCTGAGATAGACACTGTCTATGCATACCTTCCCCCTGGCCCCAGGGGCTCCTCTCCAAGTTTTTTCGCTGTGAGAGAGAAGATGAAAGAGCGAACATGCCTCATCATTTATTGTGTAACTCTGGGCACGTCACTTCACCTCTCTGTGGCTTCATTTCCACCTTTATTAAATGGAAATCACACTGCAAAACTGCCGCCCAGCAATGGGCATGCACTGAAAACCAGAAGTTATTTGATGAAAGGCTGTCTCCCTCCTCCCCTCGAGGAGCTAATTTAATTTAGGTACATCAAAGTCCTCCCAGCCAGGCCTTGCCCGGCATGCCTGGCCCTGGAGCTGGCTGCCTGGCCCTGGTGGTGCCGTCATGAAGTGTGGCTGTTAAGACCATAGAAAGAGTTCAGCCCGAACATGTGAGGTCACATCCTGAGAGGGTTCTCAGTGCACTCATATGGATTGGCTTGTGTCCCCAAAAAATACCTGTTGAAATCCTAACCCTGCACCTGTAAATATGGCCCTGGTTGGAAATAGGGGCTCTCTTTTGATATGCTAATGAGGCCATACCAGAGTAGGGTGGGTCCTGAACCTCATCCCTTCTGAGTTATAGAAGAGGAGAACAGACAGGGAGACCCGCAGGGAAACACACACATTGAGGAATGCCAAGGAACTCTGGGGGTATGACAAGGAAGGACCTGCCTGAGCTGACATCCTGAATGTGGAAGTCTAGCTTCCAGAACTGTGAGACAATGCATTATTTCTGGTCTTGAAGCCACCCACTTATGGTGTAATAGTAGCCCCAAGAGACCAAGGTGGGCACTGACCGTGCTGAAGAGCTCAGCGGCTTGCTCCAGAAGGCCCACCAGGCCGCTCTCTGTGAAGTACCTGCCCGAGCACAGCCATCCTCATCTGGTGACAGGGTGTCATCAGAGACTGCAGATTTTTCCAGTATGTTGGAAGAGATGTTCTGAAAGGGATCACAGGAGAACCAGGCTAAAGAGTGGCACCAATAGGAACCCAAAAAGAAGGGCTTGAAGAGGTTCAAAATCCCTCCAGCCTGTGATTATGCGAGGTCCGTAATTCCACCCAGAAGAGTTTCTAGCCGTCACACATTCTGAAAGGACACACTGAGCAACTGGTCTTCAAAACTCATTTTTCTTTCCTAATAATTACACTTTTCTTGTTGCTGTTGTTGCTGCTGTTGAGTCAGTCCCTGACACATGGTGATCTTATGCACAATAGGATTGGACATTGTGTGTTCCATAGGTTTTAGCTGATTTTCAGAAATAGAAATCCAGGCTTTTCTTCCTAGTTTGTCTTAGTTTGAGAGCTCCACTGAAACCTGTTCAACATCATAGCAACATGCAAGCCTCCATGGACAGACAGATGGCGGCTGTACATGAGGTATACTGGCCAGGAATTGAGCCTGGATTTCCTGCATAGAAGGTGAGAATTCTACCACTGAGCCACCACTGTCCTCCACCCTTTCCCTAGGACCTTTAGGTCCATTAGGACATCTACCACAATGTAACACTGGTTAATGTACTTTGGATAAACTACCTGACAAGGCATGCAGTTGGGGTCACAGCTTTTAAAAGGCAAAGACCAATTAACAGTTAACTGGGATGCCTTGTTTCAGCAGCTATTGTCATTGTTATGTGCCATCGAGTCAGCTCTGACTCACAGCGACTCTATGCACAACAGAATGAAACACTGTCAAGTCCTGTGCCAGCCTCACAAGCCTTGCTAGACCTGAGCCCATTGTTGCAGCCACTGTGTCAATCCATCTTGTTGAGGGCCTTCCTCTTTTATGTTGACCTTCCACTTTACCAAGCATGATATCCTTCTCCAGGGAATGATCCCTTCTGACAACATGACCAAAGTAGGTGAGAGGAAGTCTGGCCATTCTCGCTTCCAAGGAGCATTCCGGCTGCACTTCTTCCAGGACAGATTTGTTAGTTGTTCTGGTAATCCATGTTGTTGTTGTTATTGTTGTTGTTGTTGTTATGTGCCGTTGAGTCAGACCTGACTCATAGCGACCCCTCCTTGGGTTTCCGAAGCAGTATCACTATGGAAGTAGATTGCTCAACCTTCCTTCCAAGGAGTGGTTGGTGGGTTTGAACTGCCAGCCTTCTGGTTAGCAGTCAAGTGCCTTAGGCACTATGCTACCAGAGTTCCTGGCAGTCCATGTTACTTTCAATATTCTTTGCCAACACCACAACACAAGTATCAACTCTTCTTTGGTCTTCCATATTCACTGTCCAGCTGTCACATGCATATGAGGTGATTCAAAACACCATGGTTTGGGTTAGATGCACCTTAGTCTTCAAAGAGATATCTTTGCTCTTTGAAAGAGGTCTTTTGCAGCAGATTTGCCCAGTGCAATACGTCATCTGATGTCTTGACTGCTGCTTCCATTGGTGTTGATTATAGAACCAAGTAATATGAAATCTTTGACGATGTCTATCTTTTCTCCATTTATCATTATGCAGCTTATTGGTCCAGTTGTGAGGATTTTCATTTTCTTTATGTTGAGATGTAATCCATACTGAAGACTGTAGCTTTTAATCTTCATCAGTAAGTGCTTCGAGTCATCCTCACTTTCAGCAAGCAAAGTTGTGTCATCTGCACATTGGAGGTTAATGAATCTTCTTCCAATCCTGATGCCACAGTCTTCTTCATACAGTCCAACTTCTTGGATTATTTGCTCAGCATCCAGATTGAATAAGCACGGTGAAAGGACATAATCCTGACACGCTCCCTTCCTGATTGCATACCATGCAGTATCCCCCTGTTCTGTTCGAACAACAGCCTCTTGTTCTATGTACAAGTTCCTCATGAGTACAATTAAATGTTCTAGAATTCTATTCTTCTCAATGTTATCCATAATTTGTTATGATCCACAGAATGAAATGCTTTTGCATAGTCAATAAAACACAAGTAAACATCTTTCTAGTATTCTTTACTTAGAGCTAAGATCCATCTGACATCAGCTATGATATCCCTCAATCCACATCCTCTTTTGAATCCAGCTTGTATTTCTGGATGTTCTCTGCCAGTATACTGCTGCAATCGTTTTTGAATTATCTTTAGCAAAATCTTACTTGTGTGTGATATTAATGATATTGTTCAATAATTTCTACATTCTGTTGGATTACCTTTCTTTGTAATGGGTACAAATATGGATCTCTTCCAATCAGTTGGCCAGGTAGCTGTCTTCCAAATCTCTTGACATAGTCAGGTGAGTGCCTCCAGAGCAGCATCCATTTGTCGAAACATCTCAATTGGTATTCTGTCTATTTCTGCAGCTTTGTTCTTCACCAATTCCTTCAGTGCAGCTTCAACTTCTTCCTTCAATACCATTGGTTCTTGATCATATGCCACCTCCTGAAATGGATGAACAACAACCAGTTCTTTTTGGTAGAGTGACTGTGTATTTCTTCCATCTTCTTTTGATATTTGTTGCATCACTCAATATTTTGCCCATAGAATCTTCCAACATTACAACTTGAGGCTTGAATTTTTTCTTCAGTTCTTTCGGCTTGAGAAATGCTGAGTGTGTTCTTCCCTTTTGGTTTTCTAACTCCAGGTCTTTGCACATTTCATTATAGTATTTGACTTTGTCTTCTCAAGTTGCTGTTTGAAATCTTCTGTTCAGCCCTTTTATCCTGTTGATTCTTCCATCCACTTTAGCTACTCTCTGTTCAAGGGTAAGTTTCAGAGTCTCTTCTGACATCTGTTTTGCTATTTTCTTCCTTTCTTGTCTTTTTAATTACCTTTTGCTTTCCTCATGGATGATTTTTTTTATGTTATCCCACAATTCCTCTGGTTTTTGGTCATTGGTTTTCAATACATTGAATCTATTCTTTAGATGGTCTCTAATTCAAGGATATAATCAAGGTCATATTTTGGCTCTTGTAGACTTTCGTTTTCTTTAGCTTCAACTTGAACTTGCATATGAGCAGTTGATAGTCTGTTCCACAGTCAGCTTCTAGCCTTGTTTTGGCTGAAAATATTGAGCTTCTCCATAGCCTCTTTCCACAGATGTAGTCAATCTCATTCCTGTGTACACCATCTGGTGAAGCCCATGTATACAGCTGCCATTTATGTTGTTCAAAAAAGTATTTGCAATGAGTAAGTCGTTGTTGGTCTTGCAAAATTCTACCATGCGATCACTAGCATTATTTCTATCACCAAAGCCATAGTTTTCAACTACTGATGATTCTTCTTTGTTTCCAACATTTGCATTCCAATCACGAGTGATAATTAATACATCTTGATTGCATGTTCGGTCAATTTCAGACTGTAGAAGTTGGTAAAAATCTTCCATTTCCTTGTGTTTGGCTTTAGTGGCTGGTGTGTAAATTTGAATAATAGTAGTATTAACTAGTCTTGCTTGTCAGTGTATGGATATTATCCTATCACTGACAGCACTGTACTTCAGGATAGATCTTGAAACATTCTTTGTGATGATGAATGCCACGCCATTCCTCTCCAATTTGTCATTCACAGCATAGTAGATCATATGGTTGTCTGATTCAAAATGACCAAAACCAGTCCATTTCAGCTCACTGTTGCCTAGGATATTGATCTTTATGCATTCCATTTCATTTTTGACAACTTCCAATTTACCTAGATTCATACTTAATACATCCCATATTCTGATTATTAATGGATGTTTGCAGCCGTGTCTTCTCATTTTGAGCCATGACATATCAGCAAATCGTGGTCCTGAAAGCTTTACTCCACCACATCATTATGGTCCGCTCTACTCTGAGGCAGCAGCTCTTCCCCCGTTGTATTTTGAGTGCCTTCTGACCTGAGGGGCTCATCTTCTGGCACTAGATCAGACAATGTTTCAAGGCTATTCGTAAATTTTTCCAGTAATAGATCAGACAGTATTTCACTGTTATTCATAAGGTTTTCACTGGCCAGTTCTTTGAGAAGTGGATGGCTCCTTTCTTCTTCTGAGTCTGTTTTAGTCTCGAAGCTCCACTAAAACCTGTCCACTATGGGTGACCCTGCTGGTGTTTGAAATACCAGTGGCATAGCTTCCAGCCTCACAGCAACATGCAAGCCACCACAGTATGACAAACTGAAAGATGAGTGTTGGTTCAGCAGCTGAGGGAACTTCAACTTTGGGGATGTTGTTCTGAAGTAGGTTGCTACTACTGAATTAATTTCAGATGAATGGCCACAATTTTATACAACAACAACAAATCAAAGCATCTTCTTTATAGTTATTTTATGGAGATACAGCATTTACTGATGTTTTGCCCACAACAATTTTGTTCTTTTCTACACAGTACACCTTTATATAAACTACAGAGTGTAGAGTGCTAGCAGAGAATCAAGTGACAAGGGGCAGGACCAGGGGGAGGCAAGTGAAACACCCAGGATGCAAAATTTAAGGAGGCATTCCCTCTCTGGGTAGTGTCCATGCCAACCCTGCACTTGCTCAACCTTGAGAGTGAGCACCTCCTTAAAATTTATACCCTGGGTGCTTCATTTGCACCCCCACCATCCTGGCCTTGGCAGCAACTTGCATACTCTTGACAGGTCAAGAGTTATTTTCTTCCACCTAGCTCATAGATGTGGGAGAAACGCAGGTAGACCATGGGATGGAAAGAAAGCCTTCTGTGATGGTTAATGCTATGTGTCAACTTGGCTTGGCTATGGTTCTTAGTCACTATGTAATTACCTTCCATTTTGTGATCAGATGTGAGCAGCCAATCAATTGGAAGGGGCGTTTCCTAGGGGGCGTGGCCTGTCTCCAGTATATAAATGGATATCCTGGCAAAGCCTGTGTTCTCTCTCTCTCTCTTGACCTTGCCCTCTTCTCATTGTCTGACTTCTGGTTCCTGGAACATAAGCCTGCAAAAGTCTCTGGCCAGATACTGGATTTGTCAGCCCTCACAATCTGTGAGCCAGCAGAGGTCCCCAGCCTGCTACCTGACCTACAAATTT